TCCTTCTTCATGAATCTTTTAAATTTCCTCACAAACATAGCAAACTGCTCGTCAGTGAGGAGATTATTGAGGGATTTTTCAGCAGATTTTGAAGTGCTTGGCTCAGCCACTAGAGCTAGTGTCTTATATTCATCTTCCTTCTCTTCTTTGATCTCCTTCATTTCAAATTCATAGGCCTTGAGATCACTAAAGAGTTTGTCGGTTGACAGAGTTCTGAGATCTCTACTATCTCTCATAGCAGTTACCTTCATGTCCCATTTTGATGGCAGGCCTCTCAAGACTTTGAGGGAAATCTCCTTTTGAGATAGTTCTTTCCCAAGGTCAGAGACCTCTGCCACAATCTTCAGGAATCTGGATTCCATCTCATGGATAGATTCAGTTGACAGCATTTTGAAATCCTCAAATTTCTTGAGGGCTATGGTCAGTTTATTGTCCTTCTCCTGTTCATCTCCTGCTCCAATCTTTGTGAGCTCATCCCAGACATCTTTGGCAGTTTCGCATTTCCTGATTCTGGGAAATATAGATTCATCAACAGATTTGAAGAGAATGTCCTTGGCAATGTTGTCAAGATTGTTTCTCTTTCTGTCCTCAGTTGTCCATTCCATTTTGGGTTTTGGAATGTACACATCATCTGTTCCTTCTGTGATTCTGGATGTGATGACCTTCATTATTTTGATAGGTCCATCAGTAATTACTTCAAGCATCTCATCATGTAAAGCACTGAGATGTGCTTTCATCCTTATTTTCCAGTCATCAAATTTGTTCAGGTTGAACAGAAGGTTCTTTGCTAACTGACTGTCCATTTTAGAAGGTGTTTGGGAAGTAGAGTGGCTTGGATCTTTAGTTCAAATTAGTCAGAAACTGACTCTAGGAACACTTCGCTCTGATACCACTTGACGGTCCCGGATAGGGTAAAAGTCTAGAGGGGGGGTGAATAGACTTTTAAATCTTTTTCAACTTTATGATGTTTTCCCTCTAGAAAAGTTGATCTATAATCTTTTGAGAGATTAATAGATGCACAGCGGAAGTCTTTACCCTTTAGGTGATGAGAGTTTGGCCACTTTCTAATTTGGGAAGATTGGACTTTGAACAGTGAGCAGTTGGCTTGGCAGTTGCCTGGATGGCAGGAAACTGCTGAGGCAACTGCTAGTTCAAAACAGGAGTTTGGAACAGATAATTATATGGCCTTGAGTAGAATGATGAGGACTTTATGAATATGTGTAGAGCTAAAGAGAATAAGAAGTTTAGCCTGAGCAGAGGTCTGAGCAGTTGGGTAGACCCAGGGAACTGCTAAGCCGTCTGCTGTTTATGAAAAGAGTATTTCTGAGAATTGGCAAGCCAAACCTTTTAGTAGTGGTATTCCAAAGCTCGTGTGAAACAGTTGCCTCAAAGAAAAGTGAGTTATTAAGCAGTAGGATAAGCAGTAGAGTCAATTAAGACTACTGCTTAGGATGCTGCTGGCAAACTACGATCCTTTTAGTGAGAAGTGTTGGGTGTGAGCTTTGGTGAGTAAAGGAGAATCAACACACGATGTATCCTGGTTCAGAGGTGGTGTAATCCTCCTACATCCAGTCCCACCCTATTTCAGATGGATTTCCACTAAAGTATTAAGCCCAATACACTTAGTGCCAATCTAGCCTTTACAACACTTAGGCCTAGATTGAAGGTTTTTCACAATGAGTATAACACCACTCAAAGTTACTCAGTCCTTAGAATTTTCTCAATTGATCCAGTGGGGATCAAAAGGTACTCTATCTCTCTAACTACACTTTAGGATCCGAACAACTGTTCTCCTAAGTGTTTACAACCACTTGTGAAATGTTACAAGAAAGTTCTAACCTCCAACTATGAACTAAGCTCTAAAAATGTGAAAGTGTTGATCTAATCTAAGAGCTTAGTGAAGCATGAGGCTAAGCAGAGAGTAAAGTTGAGTTTGCACTTTCTCTTTTTTGCTAGATAGCTTCGTATATGCTTTGATGGAAGTATTTCTCTGCTTAGGATGCTCAAGCTTGTTTTCGAACTCATGCTTCTACCTATATTTATAGGCCTTCATGGTTGATTAATCTCATCCGTTGGTTGAGATGAATTAATCCTTGTCGTTGAAGATCTCTGGCAAGGATAAGTAGTACAATTGTCTTCTTGTGCTGGAGCATTGATTTCAGCTGATCACTTTGTCTTGTATTGTGTGTGCGTCCCATGCCGCGGCCCCAGTACTTGATCCGGTATTAAATGCCGGTCAAGTTTTGTCTTCAATCATATACATTCAATGTATATGTTTATGTGACATTTAATTTTTGTGTGCTAATAGAATTATACTGGTAGGATTTAAATATCCTTTTTAAGGTAAAAGAATTTTTACCTTATTGCATTTTGACTTTCCAGTGTAATTTTATTAGTTCCAAAAATTTTACATTTATTTTGTCACATTTTAATGCTAATATTTGAATTTAATTTAGACACAATGTACGGGTGCAAAGTATAGTGGCATCATCAAAATCTATCAAAATTGGGTACTAACAAATATGTTGCTTCAAATTCAAGAGTAGGCATTTCAAAAGTAAACTTTCATCCAAACATCTTACAGAACAGGTTATGCCATTACATGACTGAGTCAAACATCAGAACAGACTACAAGTGCCATTACATGTACCAAATACACATTTCACACTCCAAGATACACATTTGACACTCCAATTTTCTGAATACATCAAGTGCCATACTCATACACTAACACGCTCCAAACTACACACACTCCAAACTACACACCCACATTTTCCTATTCTACCAAACTACATCAAGTAGAACACAGAACAGAACAGCATCCATGACAGCACAAGAGTAATGAAAGCAAATGTCTTTGTTTTTGCATTCTTCATAAGCAATATATGCAGTTCCAAATTTCTTGCTTCCACCTTTTCTTTCTTAACTTTCAGCCTACCAATCTTCTCTTCTAACGCCAGTTTGTCCTTCATAAGCTGCTCCACCAACATGTCCTTATCATTTTTCATCTCATCTTTGCCAAAACCTATACCTTCACTCCATTGGAAGTAAGAGCAATCGTCTTTCTGTAAGTCAACACAACAAAAAACTCAACAATAAACTGAAAATTGAAAGAACTGAAAACTTAACAATCAGATGTTTCAAACTGAGTAATTGCATACTTACCGGCCATAGTGCACACCCATAGAATTGTCTCCCTGTGTTTGGTCCGTTTTTGACCAATCTAGGTTTGGAGCATATATTGTGGTAGCACTGAACTGAAAATCCACTGCTTGCAGCCCTTCTCCCCCCAGATGATGATCCATTCGTCGAGCTCATTTCTCCTTCGCGTACAACGGCGGCCGTGTTTACTGTGTATACCAGTCGCGAACAAAGCCTCGGATTCGTGGGAAGGGTTCCGAACAGGATGCAAGAACAAGGACAGAGGAGTTCTAATCTATACTCCCTATTAAATAACGCACATGAGGTGCACGTGTAACTTATTTTACCGGTTATAAATTATTAGAACCTATGGGGGTCTATTTTTGGAAAAGGGTGGGGGAAGTTGGGAGTACAGGGAAATAAACAACAGTAGGGATTATTAAAAGCGGACCAGGTATAGTTGGGATTAATAATACCTATTTTTCCTTTAATTAATTCAACGTGTAAGTATGTAACTGCACATCAACTTGCGCAGGAGGGGCTCCAGGCAGCCAGATGTTCGATCTTCTCTTCTACTAGTGAGCTTTCCAGAACTGTACTTGCTCAGGTGCATTCTGATGCTATTTCGACCCTAGCTTTTCGAGCTTATCCGTGATTTTTGTCTTGATCTTTAGATGGACTTATCTTTTTTCACTGCATTTTTCTATGTGGGGTAAGGTCTACCCCCCAACTTAGCTTCATTCTTTTTTTTCTCACGTATTTCGAGAAGGAATGCCTTCTCCGATGCGTTTTGGTCTGGTCCCCCATCCTTTGTAACATTTCTCATATTTTAATAAAATCTGGCAAATGTTCCCCGGCATTTGCCCCACCGATTTTGGTGGTTTACCCACCGGGTTAAAAAAATGTAACTGTAATTAGTTGTAATTGTATGTATCAACCGAATAACCATAAAGGAATATAAATTAGGAAGAATGGAATTTGTAGGGCTCCGTATTGCATTTTGAATCATTCTTGGTGTACATAAGTTGGATTGTTTTGTCTGTGAAATTTTCACAGACAAAACGTGTACAAAAGGAATTATTCTTGCATTTTAGAAAGTAGGGCTCCCTATTGATTACAAAGCAGGGATATTAATGACATTTTCATTCTCAAATTTTAGATGAAGCATACGTAAGTCTCTTTTTGGGAAGAGACTAAAGGGTGTTTGGAATTGATTCTCCTTCTGATTCATTTTTAAAGCAGAAGCAGAATCAGAATTAGTTTTTAGAAGCTGGTCTCACCAAACTTCTAAAAATCTGATACTAAGAGTACTTTAGAACACCAGAATCACTTCTTCACTTTCACCCAAACACTTCAACTTCTCCTTCTGCTCCCTGAAGGAGTTTTAAGAATCAGATCCCAAAAGATTAGTAATTGTAGCTAGATCTAAAGTTCATACACCTACAACAATCATGGTGCATGTTTGGTAGACATAAACCATTACCTTCAAACTTGTGTACTACTCCCTCCGTCCCATTTTAAATGTCCCGTTTTACCATATTGAGATGTCCTTATTTAATTGTCTCATACTTTATTTGGTAAAGTTTAGGTGACTCAAAATCATTCTTACTTTATTCTTACTTTATCAATAATATCAACCACACAAACCTGCTTTTCTTAAAACTCGTGTCACTGTTTTAACTAGAAATTAACTAATCAAAAACTATTTAATGAAGAGGGAATCAAGAAAATAAGAATCAAAGATGAACCAATCTGAGTACCAATAATAATGGAAATATTCGAATATATGATGAGGATAATTTTAGTAGTATAATTCCACTAACTTTTGTAAACAAAGAATGAAAGCTCTTTGATAGGATTGATCGTGCATGTATTATGTGGAAAAGAAGTGAGTTACAATGCCCATGATCTAATCTATTTAATGAGAAATAGTTTTCCCTTTCCGCAAGTCATGCCATTAGCACCGAATTTGTTGCTGAGAGCAACTGTCTTGACCTTTTCTTTAGGCTCCACTTAGTCTTTTAGTCTTATCCCTTGTGTTTATTAATTCAAATAGCTCTCAAATGAATTTCTCCTAGAGTTGGGCCAACTCCTATACTTGATTAAATTAATTCATCGGCCCATGGACGAAGTAAATTCTCGGGCCCAACAATTGCCCCCTTTCGAGAAGTTGAAGCGTATGACAAACACGTCAAGCCGTCAAGCATCAACTTGTCGAAATTTGAAAGAACTTAAACTTGTCGTCATTGCCCATCAACTCGTATGTCCGTATGTTGAGACGCTTCCACCAATCCGTCATTTGTCGGGTGAGATGCTTTCTTCAACTCGTCACCTGTCTGGTGAGACATGTCGTCAACCTGTCTAGATGTCTCTATCAATATGTCACTTTCCTTGCAAGTAGCTTTTAGATCGAATTTGTCTCCTTGAGTGAGGTGACGAAGAACGAAGGCTGGTCTCCTGTCATCTTCCTCCCAATTTGTGCTAATGATCGTAAGTAGGCAATGCTGACGAGTTGAAACTTCGTTCAGGTTGACGTCGACACTTCAGTTGCCAAAGGAGTTTCGTCCGTTGCTAGAGATGACGAGTTGGGTTGCATGAAAGTAACTGAAATCCTACAAAAAAATTGAATAATGTTTCGTTTATGGTTTTAATAATATCGTCGACATGAATATTTGTGATGTATGTCAATGCCGTTTGTATTGTCTCCTTGTGTTTTGGAGTTTGTGTTGTAATGCTCTTGGAGCATATGCTTCTGTTGTGTGTTTCTGTAGTTTTGTGTAGTTTTGGCCAAAACTTGTAGGGATTCTCGGTCCGTGCCTCATATTTCATATATGAAGGACTCAAGTTTGCCTCACCATCCCTTGTTGCGGGGTTTGTGTTAGCGGTTGTCGCTATACGCGTAAGGTTTTGGCTGTCTTTTGCCCTGTCAGCATCCTGCACACAAATATTCCGTCAAAGTCCGGCCGTTGGCGTTTGGCCAACGGCCCTCCGATGCTTAAATCAGTAACCGTTATAATAATGAGTTAATCGAATAAAACTTCACTTAAGGAAAGCAACTTTCCATGTTGTTACTTATATAAAATCTGCCTTATTTAACTTATACAAATACCTTTGAAAGAATCAGCGAGACTTGTAGCAATGTTTATGATGAAAACTAAAAACAAGACTTTAAGATAGTTTGCTTAAAGTGTGGTAGAGAGCAAACGGATTGATGGGAGTTCAGTTGCTGGATTGATTCTTAGTGACGACATGCTTGTTTACTTTACCGTCATGCTTGATCAGCTTGAGATCGTCGGTCAGTACCTGTTCAATGATTAGTTTGGCCGTTGGCTTAGGGCCAACGGCCCTCCGACGCTCAAGTTAGTAATGGAAGTAAAAGAAAGGTATATCGACTATACTAATTTAATCAGAAATGAAAGGGTTTTAAGGGTACCGCATTCCAGCTTCTCGGTACTTGCTTACCGTCGACAGATTGCAGTCAATATGCCCCCTGTCCGACGACTTCAATCATGTCGTCCAATCTACCTCGTCATAGAAGTGACAACTCGTTCGTCTGGTCTCGAATAAGGTCTTCCATGCTTGCAGTCGTGCCTCCTGGGGGATTCCGATTTCCCGTGCCCCCCTTCGTGCTCAATATGTCCGTGACGGGCTCGTAAGTCTTCTTCTAGACGGATGAAAGCTAGTGCCTTTGCTTGGACATCTTCGAAGGACCAACTAGGGTATTTCGTCAACTCCCGATATAACTCTGAATCCTCCAGCAGTCCTTGTCTGAATGCTTCAATTGTCGTCGGCACATAACACCTAGGGATTGACACCTTATCCTTGTTGAAGCGATGCAAGTAATCTCGCAAGGATTCATTTCGCCTCTGGACCACCCGATAAAGATCACTGGTCTGCTTCTCCAAGGCTCGACTGCTCGCAAACTGTCGATTGAATAAGTTGACCAGCTCCGCAAATGAATTGATGCCTTCATTTGGTAGGTTGACGAACCACGTCAATGCCGGTCCTGACAATGTCGTCCCAAATGCCCTGCACATGCAAGCTTCTCGCTGATCTAGTCTGACTGAGGTGACTAACATTTGTTGCTTGTACTGAGCGACATGTTCCGCCGGATCAGAAGTCCCATCGAACGGTCTCATCGAGGGGGCGGCGAACTTCCTCGGAAGCTCGACATCAATGATATGTCGTCCGAAAGGCGAGTCCGCATAGCATGCTTGTGAGGCAACATCTAGCGGTGGCTGGACTCCAGGTATGCCGCTGATTTTCTCCCGCATCTCTCTCATCTCCTCTGTGAGGATGGCCAAAGAGTCTGTCAAGTATGTCTGCATCTGCGGAACTGGTACTTCAGGTGGTGTTGTCATTTGGGCTGCTCCTCATTCGGTTGACGATGGTATATCGATGATCTCTGGCTCTTGCCGCCTCTGGTTGTTGATGTCGACATGTCTGGGGATGTCGACATGTCTGGGGATGTCGACATGATTTGGAACACGTCGTCTCTGGGGCGCTTCGAACAGATTACATAATATGTCCCTTCTAGGATTTGGGAATGGAAAGGAACAAGTCGAGGGCCCTGCTTTTCCCGGCATGCCGGCTCCAGAATGAGGGACGAAAGGATTCTTAGGAGCCGACGTGATGGTCGAAGTTGGCATCTGTTGGTTGATTGTATGCAAACGTGACATCACTGTTCTGGTTCGCAATGAATCTGGGAAGAAGTGCATCGGGATGCTCATGGTTGGGGTTGAAACCGGAACTGAATCCATGTCCAATCTTGTTGCCACGGTCATGATATCATTTCCCCGTCGTGAATTGGATACTATGGATGTCACCGATTGTACTTGAGATCGTAGAGCATCGTTTTCTCGTTGGAGGAGGGTGATCCGCTGCCGCATTTCTTCCCTGACAGATCCTAGTTGCGCTTGAATCTCCGCCGCCGAATGATTAGAATTTCCGGCCATGCGTATTTCTTCCCTGAGAGCTTCTAGCTGTGCTTGAATTTCTGTCACCAAAGAATTAGAACTTCCGGCCATGATCGATTCTTCTTTTGCAAGATTTTCCCACAGACGGCGCCAATTGTTTTAACTAGAAATTAACTAATCAAAAACTATTTAATGAAGAGGGAATCAAGCAAATAAGAATCAAAGATGAACCAATCTGAGTACCAATAATAATGGAAATATTTGAATATATGATGAGGATGATTTTAGTAGGGGAAAATGGAAACTAATAATCCAACCTTTTAGCGGTCTTCTTTTAATAGTCCGACCTTTTCGTTATTCATGAATAATCCAACCTTTGCACCTCATCTTCATTCATTGGTCCCCGACCGGTTGATGACATGCTATTCCGAGTTATTTTCTCATCTCTGCAAACTATTATACCATAAATTCCACCTTTCACAAAGATAATATTTTGCAAAGATAAGAAAATGACTTGGAATAGCAGGTCATCAACCGGTCAGGGACCAGTGAATGAAGATGAGGTGCAAAGGTTGGATTATTCATGAATAACGAAAAGGTGGGACTATCAAAAGAAGACCGCTAAAAGGTTGGATTATTAGTTTCCATTTTCCCTTTTACTAGTATAATTCCACTAACTTTTGTAAACAAAGAATGAAAGCTCTTTGATAGGATTGATCGTGCATGTATTATGTGGAAAAGAAGTGAGTTACAATGCCCATGATCTAATCTATTTAATGAGAAATAGTTTTCCCTTTCCGCAAGTCATGCCATTAGCACCGAATTTGTTGCTGAGAGCAACTGTCTTGACCTTTTCTTTAGGCTCCACTTAGTCTTTTAGTCTTATCCCTTGTGTTTATTAATTCAAATAGCTCTCAAATGAATTTCTCCTAGAGTTGGGCCAACTCCTATACTTGATTAAATTAATTCATCGGCCCATGGACGAAGTAAATTCTCGGGCCCAACAGTCACCCTCTTCCGGGACACTTAAAAGGGGCGAAGGGAGTATTTAAAAAGTCTCTAAAAGTTTTATAGTGAAATTTTTGACATGACAATTTTTAACAAAATAAAAGATCTTTTTTAAGAATCTACATTGAGTAGCATCTGAGAAAAGCCTATAACTTTTAACACTAATTAGTCACAATAGCTTGTATACTATATATTTCGTAAGACTAAATCAAATAGTCATATTTTCATCAAATAGCTACCACATTTTTCCTTTATGACCTTTTCAGTAACTAAAAGTTAACGGTTACTAAAAATTTACCTGAATTTTTTTTTTAACTAATTAATTGTACCAAACAATTAATATTTTCAACTAATTTTTTCAGCTAATCTTAATTATTTCACACTGGTCATATACAAAATTCTACACAGGTCACATACTCACATATGCTTAAAATCGGGGTTCTTTTCTAACAAATGATGAAGAAGTAGTAGAAAACTTTATACGAAGAATATGTTTCTATTTACATTTTTATAGTAGGGTGATGTGAGATGGCTAACATACACTTATAATCTATGTAATTTTCTCTTTTGGTCATATATTCTTCGGAAATTGTCCTAAATAGGACTAAAAAGTTCCTAAAAAGCACAAATAGGACTACTATTTTTAAAATTCCCTAAATAGGACTAAACATTGATTTTCTACCCTAAATACCCCTAAGAGTATTAATTCATAATGAAATGCTTTAATTCATAATAAAATCACAAAAAACGTAAAAAAATATTTAAAAAACGTAAAAAAATTATAAAAAATTTATAAAACATTTATAAAATAAAAAATTTAATTTTTTATTTTTTTAATTTTTTTTAAAAATTAATAAAAAATAGTAAAAACCCATAAAAAATGAAAAAAATTATGGATACCTTTCTCACCGCCTCCCGCCGCCTCCCAGCACCACCACCTCCGATTGGTGAAATTTCTTCCACTTTTGGTAAAAAAATGCCATATTTTTCTGAAAATGCCAAAAAGATGGCATAATTACTCTTCAATATGCCAACATTTTCATTGGATATGCCATCATTATGGCATTATTTAAAATGTTGGCATATTTTTCTACGGTGATGGGAGATGGTGGTGCTGGGGGGTGGCAGGGGTGGTAATGTTTTTTTTTTTTAAATTTATGATTTTTTTTTTTTTTTTTTTAAAAATATTTTTTTTTATTTTTTTTAGAAAATATTTTTATTAATTTTCTATTATTGTTTTACGATTTTTAGTATTTTTTTCGATTTTTATTAATTTTTTTATGATTTTATTATTAATTAAAACATTTTACAAGTTACAAGGGTATATTTGTCCAAACACACATAAATAGTCCTATTAAAGGAATTTAAAAAATGTAGTCCTATTTGTGCAATTTTGCCACTTTTTAGTCCTATTTAGGGAATTGACTCTATATTCTTCTAGTAATTTTGTCATGGCCTATTTGCATCTAAGTGGAGTCAAATGTGCTTTTATTTGAAGTCGATCAAATGTGCTTTTATTTGAATCTCTTATTTTATACGATGTATCAAACCTTAATCATATATATTAGAATACGATTTTTTGTAGTTTAATAAAAAAATAGCGCAATTTTAAATAAGTAAAATTTATTTTCTTATTACTAGTTTAAATATTGTAATTTGATTTAATATTATTCTCAGTCAACCATCGTTAATCACAGGGGCGGAGCTAGGGGGTGCCCAGGCTAGGCCCAGGCCCACCCCAAATTTGAAAAATGTCAATATTTTTAGTGTAAATAATTTCGTGTAATTTTTTTTCCAATAATATTCTTTGTACCGGCCCAGTCTAGCCCAGTGTCCTGGCTACGCCCCTGGTTAATCATAAATGGGATATGCTTCTAAGACAAAGCTCGCGTACGTGTATACAACTTTGATATAAGGGACTCCTTAAATCACAGTAGGAACTTATTAGCTTGGGTAAAAATGGCATATAAATACTTTATACGTAATAATATGAGACCAAATTAAATTAATATATAAATACTTTAATGCATCATAAATCATCCTCAACTTTGTCCAAGCATCTCAAACGTATTTGTACATAAGAATCATCATAAACTAAAGAGAAGCACTCTTTAAAACATATTATTGTTCTGATGCTGCTGCAAAGTTCACTCTCAACCATGTCAAGACACAATCACTCAGACATATATAACTGCTATATATAATTAATCGATAGATAAAATATTAAGAGTTTCATCAACCCATACATCATAATTGCTGGCGGTGAATCTGGATCTGCCTGATTTAGAGCTCCAAAACCAAGTCTACAGTTTAAGCACACAACAAATCAGAATTTGCTTAGTTAATTGGTTGCGAACATTATTATATCATTAATCGAAATCAAGAAGGCATTATGTTTTCACTTTTTGAGTGAGGTCATTCTAATAATTAACGTATCCGGCCTACACAAAAAAGAATGAGATTGACACGGATTTGACACATATTTATTGATGATTTCGTGTCAAATAACTCGTGACAAAATGATGTTGACTCAGATTTGGTGCATCCATACCAATTCCTTTATGTATATTGGCGAATCCTATCAAAAATTGTGTCAATCCTCTTATTTTTTGTAATGATAGTTACTATATATGCTCTCATGTTCATTAAATTTACTCGTGATTATAAATCATTACAGATCATTTAGGATTGTAGTGAGTGGTATACTAAAGAAGTTTTCAATAGGAATAAATTTTCCTAGTCTAGTCTGGTCTAAACTTGTTTGGTCTGTAGATGTTTGTTGTATGTCTATTTTAGAATTGTTGAAATCTAGTCTTATCTGTTTTGGTTTGGTCTCTTTTGTGTAAGTCCGGTCTAGTCTGATTTGAGAGTGAGACGACTACGGTTAAAACATCCTAAATATAGAACAGTATGTAAAACTTACAATCGGCGTCGCTTTTGATCCAACATTCTTTATTGGCATTAGGATCGGCAGAAGCAATGGCGGCGAGCTGGTGGCGGCGCAAGCTGGATTGGCTCTTGAGACGCCTCAAGTTGTCCCGTGACATGCGGCGGCGCTTAGGCATGAGCGCGACGTCTTCACGGGCGGACCCGAAGAGGCTGTCATACATGAGGCGGGTGTTCCGGCTGCTGCTGAGGTTGTCGCTCTTGTTGGAGCCCTTCTCAACTTTTGCTGTTGTTCCTATGCTCTCTGGGTGCACTTTCTTGTGGAACATTTGGAGTACCTGCTTGCCAGTTCCCCTTTGTCATTATCCAAATCCAATCAATTAACTCACAATTATATTTATTTGTCCATTTAGTTTAGCAACTTATGCTTGCATCCTGATGTTTTTTTTGTATTCAGTATCTTTATTTGTTTGCTTCTTTTTGTGTAATTTCTAAATTTATCTATATTAATAACTTTGTATTACGATGTACAAATCAATTTTCTCACTACATGTTAATATTTTAAGTGAGTATATGCCATATATCGATCTACAAATCAAAAGGCGGAATCAACAACTTTCCAAAATGGCAAAATCACACACACTAGTGAAATTTAGTTCGACACTCGACTAGAGAGAATGACAAGAAAATCAAATAATAAAGATCAATGAAATTTAGTGGGAAAACTGTCAAATAGGTCCTCGAACTTTCATAAAAAGGTCAATTAAGTCCTTCTATAGGAGCTTCTATCCGGCCGTCGCGATTTGGGGCAGTTTCCGGTGGAATTTTTTGATGAAACTTTTTGAGCATTTTATTCACCAAGTCTAGTTTACTCATACCAAATTTCAGCTAAAAATTCAATCGGAAACACATTCAAATTAATTTTTGAAGATAACTGCGCATTTTTGCGTTATCGAATTAATTTGAATACGCTCCCGATTAAATTTTTAGATGAAATTTGGTATGAGTAAACTAGACTTGATGAATAAGATGCTCAAAAATTTTCATCAAAAAATTCCATCGGGAACCGCACCAAATTGCGACGACCGGACAGAGTCTACTATAGAAGGACTTAATTGACTTTTTTATGAAATTTTGAGGACCTATTTGACAGTTTTCCCAAATTTAGTCAACTCCGTTTTGATTATTCAGATTTATCACAGGTTTTGGTAATTCGTTTTTGTTTAATTTTAGATTAATAATTTGTCCTAACTAGGAGAAAAATGTTCGGAAGATCCGGCCAATTATGACATTTTAATACTGTCATATTCATGTTTGAAAAAACACTAGTACTCCTATTTTGTAGGGAAAATCGGAATTTTATCAATTTAAGATCCGAAAGATAGAGATGAATTATCAATCCAGAACTCAAAAGATGAAATGTATCGGTATTGGACCAGAGTGATTGAAAACTATCAATGTAGGACCTAACATTTCATAGGTCTTGATTTATTTAACACTACAACATTTCCACTCCTAATGTATCACCCAAAAGTGTTACAATATCACTTAAAAGTGTTACATTAGAGAAAATGTAACAATTTCTTACCATTACATTTGCTCATGTTGCATTAGACCTATTGTAACTCGTTATAGTCCCTAATGTAACATTTATACTTCTAGAAAGTGTTACATTAGGCCTAAAAAGTGTTACATTAGAGAAATATGTAATACTTTTATAGATATATTACATCTTTGTGAATAAAATTTTATTCACAAAAGTTTATTAAATTATAAAACTAAATAATACAAGTATATAAAAAATTAAAATAAAAAAAAATCAATAAAATTCACGACAACTTAGATGCTAGAAGGATAATTTTCAGATCCTAAATTGATAGTTTTCCATCTTTTCAATTTTCAACTTAACTAATGCTAGATTGAAGGCAGTTTTCTCGATATACGTAGTATATACTGTAGGGTGTGTTTCGGAAAATAAAGAAAATTAATTAAAATAAATTAATTAAAATAAAATGATTAGAGAAAAACAAGAAAGGAGATGAAGCAGAATTAGTCCCAGGATATGATGACTACGAACTAATGTTTGAACACACAAACAAAAGTTCCAGTGAACGAGAACACAGTATGAACACAGAGGAA